GGTTACATATCTGCACATAGACCATCTCACATATCTTGTTCAAATAAAGGAAAATAAAGTCACCATAACTGAGAACTAAACACATGTTATAAGTTCATTCTTAGTGGTCAATCATACCATTTATTAGAATGTTACTCAAGAACTCAATCGTGAGCTTCAGTAACTCAGTAGTAACATCCCTGACTGTAGCACTGGCTAGGTGGGTGGTGACACACTGACTAACTCACTGAGGGACTGGTTTCAACATAGAACTTTGCTGCACCGATGTGCAGCAGTTTGAGTCGCCACACTCCCTTCATGTAGCACACAAAGCAAAAGAAGAAAGTAAAATGAAATGCAAAACAGAGACAATAAATAGAGATAAGAGGCAAAAACAATTGTAATATGGAAGAACAATATAGTTTTATTGGATGTTATAAATCACAAGGAGTGGATGCATCTGTGCCATCCAATGAGAACGGGGATTTTGAACCATATCACCAATTATCTTCAGCCTTCATTGGTGTTTACCGTTACCAGGACCCGAACCAGGAAGTCGACATCTTCCTACGTGGCTTAAACTAATTGTTGTGGATTTCATTGACTGATGAAGCCATGTTTCGGTTTGACCAACACTAGCTAACTCTTTTCCAACCTGATCCATCCTATTTCATTCAGATAGCATTGCCGGTTGTTGAGGAAGGTGATGACTAGGCGGGCACCGATGTAACTTCACAACCTCATCGACTGTTTTCCCCCTCCTTACCTGGCACTCGATGGACGCCTATCCTCGATACTGCTCACGCGATTATACCACTTCACACGGGAGATAGAACGCAGGCACCTATGATCAAAGACAGCTAGCTGACCTTTTCATGTCTTCCACTTTCAATGGCCAGGTCTCACAACCACAAAGGACTATGGTGATTCGAATCCTCAACAGAGTGTAAATGTGTCAGTTGTTTTGAGGTTGAAGATGCCGGCTTACTAACAAATGCCCGCAAGTATGAAACCTACGTCAGTTAGGGCTTCCTATGGATTGCCTCCAACCATCGTCATGTTTTGAAGCCCCTAGCTTAGGTATCACACTGCCCATAAACTTCTAACCCCGCTTCTTACAATCTCCTCCATATCACTCTCTCACACATGTTCAACACATCGTCGTTTCGCAATCCTGTTTCACTCTGCAACCTGGCGTACTACTTCATTCAACGGTCCCCTCAGCGTTGGTCGGACCACTCTCCACTTTTTTCGACACATTTTTTAAGCAGTAACCTGCTGGTGGGTTCTTTTCCAGAGTTTACTTATCGCTTATCTTTCCTGGCTGGTCAGATGTTTGATCTTCAGTATCGAGCTAGTTCGATGGCATCTGTTGATGAAAATCTTCACAGTAGCCTGTTGAAAATACTTTTGGTAATGAGGACACTAAATCTCTAAACCAATATACCAGTGCTGATTAACTTGACATTAGAAGTGAATTGGTGGATGGTGGCTAACAGTGGAATCCAGCCAGGGCGCGCATTTCGTCCTGTTTGGGACTCGTCAGCTAACTGAATGTACCTGCATTCTCCAGTGAGTGATGATGTTTCAAACGCCAAAGCGTTATCCACTAGATCACTTGGGCCACGAGAGCTGGCCACCTCTTGTCCAACGAGTCATATTAATCTAATTTGATTGGATTTTAGATTTTCCCATCGATTGATTGGACCCGAGAAGTGCTCGGTCTCAGGTTGACATGTCGTCTGTCGGCTTCTTGTGCAAATGTTTTGACGATGTCTGGGGACATCGTCATTCACTGCGGAATGTAGGTACATCCAGTTAGCTGACGAGTCCCTAATAGGACGAAATGAGCATTCTGGTTGGATTCCATTGGTAGTCAGTCACCATCCATCAGTTCACACTTCTAATTACATGCCCAGACATCTGCATCGAAGCATCTACAGAAGAAGCCAACAGACGACATGTCAACCTGAGACCGAGAAGCTCTTCTTGGTCCAATCAGTCGACAGGAAAATCTAAAATTGAATTAGACTTGATATTAGTATTAAAAATAAAACTATGGTTATTACAAATGCAGATAGTCAATGGCTTTGCGTATATCACACATTTTGCTGTTTTTGTAATGTTGATTTGCGTAGGCACACCCACTCACAGAGCAGCAGCAGTCTCAGGAAGAAAGATAGTAACAATAAGTAACATTATTCAATTGTGTGTTATACCTTACACAAATTATTTATGAATCATTAAGTGTAGCATTCATTACACACACTCATATTACTCATCATTGATAATGTATCATTTATCAGTTTAACTGATAATTGTTTGTAGGCGGATGTTGGATATTATACGCCTGTAATTAGTGCAAAAAACTAAGCGAGTTGTTCTGTTCCAAATATTTTATCATATGATACATTAGCGATTAGTAATCGGTTAAGAAGCTTGGCCTTTAGTCACTGTGAGTCATGAGTACTAGTGTTAGTTTCATTGGATAGTTAGAGGCAATTGGCCACAGGAAGTCTTGCTTGACTTAGGTTTTGTGCTAATTGGCCCTTACCAGTCAACTACCTTGAAGGGACTCATGTCCCTTCTGAGATTCTAACTCGCGTTACCCTGCGCGGCAGCCAGTCAGAGACGTTATTATTATTATTACTATTATTATTATTATTCCCTTGGGTTTCTAGTCGAACATAGGGCTTCAACTGCACGCCTCCACTTCCTTCTGTCTTCTCCGGTACTTTTCACCTGCATCCATTTTAGTCCATACTGTTTCAACCCCTCTTCACACGATCTCCTCCATGTCACCCTTGGACGTCCCACTCGCCGCTTCCCTTTCGCGTTCCACTCTAGCGTTGGCCTGACGCGCAATGTCACCCAGCGGCCTCCTCAGCCAGTGAGTGTCCAATCCATCTCCACTTTCTCCTGCATATTTGTTGGGCGACTGGTTCTTGTTCTTTCCAGCCATCTGATCTTGAGTATAGAGCGAAGACAGTTGTTGTCGATAAAGTTCTACAACAGGCTGTTGGAAATATTCTTTGTGACCCGCCAAGTTTCTGATCTGATCCGTATAGAAGAAGTGACTGACTTGACGTTTGTATTGAAAATCCGGATTTTGTTGTTGTTGATGCAGGCTGAGTGACGAAGATTTCCAGATAAGTTTCAGGTTGATGAATGTGTTTCTCGCCTTCGCGATCCTCGATTTGACATCCTCGTCCGTTCCTCCTGTAGTTGAGATAATGCTCTCTAGATAAGTGAATGAAATAACCTCTTTCAAATTCCTTCTGTTAATGGTGATTGGCGGTGGATGTTGCTGCTGCTGTTGTTGTTTTGTTGGTTGGTTGGTTATTTTCATAACCTCCGTCTTGTGTATGTTCACCTGGAGTCAGAGACGTTACCACTGAGCCATTCTAACTCAAAGTAACAAAGTACCGAATACAGTCCTACAGGAAGTCAATCACTAGTTTGGGGGGAGAAGGTCAAGGGAGGAAGAGAGATTGAACAAACACCTTCTGAACACAGAGACGGGGTTGAAAAGTCATTGATGGCGACTGCCTCACCTATGCTTAGCACCTGAAGACGTACCAACCTAGGGAGTTGAAGAGCCATATGAATGAAGTTAGAAAGTTGTGTGAGTGAGTGACTTGATATGATTATGAGTGGCAATAAACTGTGCTCTGAACGTGGTCATCAGTAAATATTACTGTATACCACAGTAAGACTTTATCAAAATAAATTTTAACCATAATGAAATTACACTCTACCACAGTACACATGTTTTATTTTTATATGAGAAATACACCTTGGCTTGCTTAAATCGTGTTCTGTTATTATCATTAGTTTTTTTTGCGAATTTCTTCGCTTTCTGTTGTCCACCTTTGTGTGTGTGCCGTATGGAATGTGGTAGCTTGCTTGAGCTGATGTACTTCTGTGCAAATTTTACTGTTGAAACTCAGTAAGTCAGTCAGTCAGTCAGGAATACCAATTGCAACACAGAAAATACCATTCACATTAGGTGCTGGATAATTTCCAGTTTAAATGAAAAAGAGAACTCGGATCTCATAAGAGGACTGGAATCGTTGGCGGCAGTCAGGACAGAAACTCCTTTTGATTAAAACAGATTGACTGAGATGTATTCAGTCATGCTTGATGATTTTTGTTTTCTCAAAAGCCTTAATGTGAAACAACGGATTAGTAACTCCTGTTCTCCATCTACTTATTGTCAGTCTACCATTACTCTGAGAGGATTGGAAGAATCAGTTCTCCCTCACTTTTTTCCCCAGTATTATTATTCTATTATTATTTCCTTTAATTCCTAGAGGAACACAGGGCTTCAGACGTGCGTCTGCATTGCGTTCGCTTCTCTGCTAGAGTCTTCACCTGGCTCCAAGTCTGCCCACACGTTTTCATCTCCTCTTCACATGACCTCCTCCAAGTCACCCTTGCACTGACGACCATCTCGCCGCTTCCCCTTTCGGGTTCCACTCGGGCGATGGCTTGTCTAGTGATGTCACTTGATGGTTTCCTCAGAGTATGGTCAATCCATCTCCATTTCTTACTGCCTATTTGTTTCACAATCGGTTCCTGCTGGGTTGGTTCGCTCATTGCCAGAGATCTCTGTTGCTGATCTTTTCTGGCCGGCCATCTGATCTTGAGTATTGAGCGAAGACAACTGTTAATGAAGGTCTGTAGCTTGTTTGAGATGCTCTTTATGGCGCACCAAGTCTCTGATCCGTATGGTGAGTGGCACTGACTTCACATTGAAGTTGAAAATCCGGATGTTATTTTTGATGCTGAATGCTGTTGACGTCCACACAGACTTGAGAGTAGTGAAAGTTTGTCTTGCTTTTCCGATTCTTACTTTGATATCCTCACCAGTTCCGACCGCCTGTAGTTGAAACGATGCTTCCCAGGTAGGTAGGTAAAGGAGGTTGTTTCTTTCCCCAGTATTCTCAAGTTTTTAGTGTCCCCCAACCCCCCTCCAAACCCCGCCTATATTTTCTACTATTTCTTTTGTGTTATTTCAGTCCTGAATTACCATTACCAATTCGTGTGAAACGATCCCAGATGTCGTTGGATAGCACCAGTAGCAGCAGCAGTAGCTGTTGTAGTGGTGGTGGTGCTGGCGATAATGACGACGAAAATACTACCAGTTTGGAGAATGTTACAATCGATGGAAATAACAATCTATCATCATCATTCAGAGAAGAAAATAAGGAGAATAGAATTTATGCCGTTGAAAATAATCATCATCATCATCGAGATAATGATGATACTGTTAAAGTGTCTACAGATTATCATCGGTCGACCGGTGGTGGTGGTGTTGGTGTTGGCAATCCTCAGCCTGCTGTTGGCATAGTACCAGTAACAACGCCCACTACAACAACAACTGTTTCTGGAAAACCTCAGGTAATTGATTACACGTATTCTAATAAAGTATTAGTATAATGTTTTATTTTTTTTGTCTGACTACTACTGTAACGACCGAAGACAAGGGACAGGCAACGGATCTTTCATTGAGGAAATTATTATTAGCGTTATTGTTGTTATCAGAGAAGCATCATCTTCTGATTGGTTGTTTTCTTGCTGAAGGTTATTTTCTGTACTGATTGTGACCGTTTCTCAGAAAGTTAAGCCATATATCTGCGAATCGTATTTGCACATGTTAAGTCAGCTGTGATTGGTTGTTGGGTTGCTCAAGGTTATGCTTTGCTATTGCTTCTCTTTCTCAAGATTCCAATTCGGGAGGTAACATTGACGTTAATTACTGTCTACAATTTTTGGCTTGCAAGCAGCTGTCGCCACACTCCTACTACTAATATTTGTAGCTGCGTTTTTAGTGTTCACTTTTGTTTTGATGATTTGCAAGAGTTTGTGAAGAGTTGCCATGGTATTGAAGTGATGAAAACTGGCGGATTCTGTTAGATTATTATTATTATTTATCCTCTGGGTTCTGAGTGGAACATAGGGACTCAACAACACATTTCCATTTTGTTCTATACTCCGCTGTCCTTTTCATCTGTATCCATGATTGCCCATAATCTCTCATCTCCTCCTCCTCGCCGCACGATCTCTTGCATGTCATCCGAGGACATAAGCTCTAATTGTCGTTTCCCATCATGATTCCAATTGAGCGATGGGCTGCACTGCGCGCGATGTCATTCAATGGTCCACTCAACGTATGCTCGACCCATTTCCATTTTCGCCTACATATTTGTTGAGCGATCGGCTCTTGCTTATTGGTTTGTTCCCAGCCAGAGTTTCTTGTTGTTTTTTCTTTCTGGCCTGCCAGCTGATCTTTAATATGGAGCCAGAGAAGGCAGCTGTTGATGAAAGTCTGCAAGCTATTGGAAATCCTTTTCGTGACGTGGAGTGCAATTTTCTGACACATACAGAAGAACTGACTAACTTCACATTTGTGTTGACAATCCGAATCTTGTTTTTTGCTCTGGTTTGACTGCCCAACATTTCTAAACTGGTTTCAGGTTGATGAAAGCGTATCTCGCCTTTCTGATTCTGGCTGGCTGGCTGGATTTGACATCTTCATCCGTTCCACTGGCCTGCGGATGAAACCGTGGTTCCTAGAAAAGTGAAGGAAATAACCTCTGTTGGTGGTGATTAGTGCTGGTTGTTTTTGCTGTTGGTTGGTTGGCTGGTTATTTTCATCACCACCGTCTTCAGTATGTTCACTTGGAGTTCTGTCTTTGCTGCCTTCGTCTTCAGCCAGTGTGTTGGTTTTCTCCTACAAGTGTTCGAGTTTGTGTGACATCAAACATAAATCATCTGCGAAATTCATATCTTCTAGAGTCTTCCTATCGGTGATCCGGTGTATTCCTGTGCACGGTCTGACGCATAATCCAGTCCACCACAATTAAGAATACCATCGGTGATAATAGGCAGGCGTGTCTTACTCCTGTATTCACTATGAATGCCTCGCTGAGTTTTCCGTTGCGGATCACCTGACACGTTAATCATGCTCGCCCCGTGATTACCGATATTTTCCGGTCCTCTCCTCACACGATCTCTTCCATGTAAACCTGGGACGACCCACTCGTCGTCTACCATTCGATTTACACTCTATTAATGGCCTGACATGCTATATCATTCCCACAGTCTCCTTAGTGTGTAACCAATCCGTCGCCATTTGCTTGCACGTATTTGTTAAGCAATCCGCACTTGGTTGGTTTGTCCCCATAGTCTCTTGTCACTAATTCTTTCTGGCGCTTTTGGATCTTCAATATACAGCCAGAAAAGGGGGCAGCTGTCGATAAAAGTCCGTAACTTGTTGGAAATTCTTTTCGTGACTGACACGCAGTGCAAGTTTTTGATCTATATAGAAGAATTGACTGACTTCACATTGGTGTTAAGAATCCGGATATTGTTCTTTATGTTGATTGAGTGCAGAAGATTTCTAAATTGACTTGAGAGAGAGATGATTATCTGTCCTGCCTTACTCATCCTAGCTGGCTTTGACAGCTTCCGTGTTTTCGCCTGTAGTTGTAACGATGCTTCCTGGCCAGATAAGTGAAGGAAGAGACCTCTTTTAAATTTCTAACGTTGATAGTGATTGATGCCTGTTAATGGTTAGTTCGTTGGTTACTTTCATCACCTCCGTCTTCTCTATGCGGTTTCTGTTAGGGATACACAGTTTGTCTCCACTTTTGTTTAATGCATGTGACCGTAGTCGGTTTTAACGACTCAGGAATTGACTTGTTTATCAGAGAACAATTTCGTTGATTTATGATATGCAGATGATATAGTCCTTCTAGGCGAGGACGCTGACAAAATGCAGTCTTCTGAAAACCTTGGGCAGCAATCTTCGTATGTTTGGCATGCGATTCGCTCCTGTAAAATGTAAGATGATGTTGCAGGATTGGACTACACCAACCCCTAGATTAGTAATAGGAAGTGAAGTAGTAGAACACGTTGACCGCTTCACTTACTTGGGAAGTACCATCAGCCCCAACGGGTTGATCTCAGACGAAATCTCAGCACGAATACAGAGGGCTAGTTTCGCATGTGCCAGTTTACGCCATCTCTGGCGTAGACGCGATATCCGACTATCGATCAAAGGGCGTGTGTACTGCTCAACAGTCCGCTCCGTCCTCCTTTATGACTGTGAGACCTGGCCATTGAGAGCATAAGACATGAAAAGATTAGCTGTGTTCGATCATAGGTGTCTACGTTCTATCTCCGGCGTGAAGTGGCATAATAGGGTGAGTAATATTGAGGTTAGGCATCGAGCGCTATATAAGGAGGGAAAATCAATCGGCGAGACTGTGAAATTACATCGACTGAGATTGTTAGGACATGTGTTACGTATGCCTAGTCATCGCCTTCCTCGACGGGTAATATTAGCTGATATAGGGCCGGGCTGGAAAAGAGCTAGCGGCGGTCAAACGAAAACATGGCACCAGTCAATGAAATCCACAACAGTTAGTCTAAGCCACGTAGGAAGATGTAGACTTCCTCACTGGTTGGGGTCCTCGGGACGGTAAAAACCAATGGTTGGAAACAATTGGTGACATGGCTCAAAATCGTTCTCAATGACTGGCGCAGATGCATCCACACCTTGTGACTTATGATTTCCAATGAAACTGTTTTTTCTTCATTATTACTATTCCTTTTGTCTCACACCTCTATTTACTGTCTATATTATGCATTTCTTCTACTTTCTTCTCTTGCTTTGTGTGCTACAAGGAGGGAGTGTGGCGACTTGAACTGCCGCACAGTGGTGCAAAGTTCTATATCGAAAACCGACCGACCGAGACGAGATATTCAGCTTTCCATCAAAAGATGGGTGTACTGCTCAGCAGTTCTCGCTTTCGTTATCACCATAAGACAAGACTGTTGAAATTGAAAGATATCGAGAGAGAAACTAATCGTCTTCGACCATAGATGTCTGCATTCTGTTTGTCGTTTTAAATGGTATCCTATTGTCTGTAAAATACTGAGTTCAGGCAGACGTGTTCCTTACAAAGGTGAAAAGGTGAACGCTTGGCGTTTACAACTGGACAGGTCAGGTCTATGTAGTTGAGCTGGAAGACCATGATGCCAAATTTATGGTGTACACAGAAGCCAGAATCCAAACAGACAAAATGACATATGAACCTGTTTTTTTTCACCAAAAACTGTAGGAACCCAGCTCTTGATATTGCCCTACTGCCTTGTGGATCAGACTTTAACTGACTGACTACCTGGTTTCAATAAAGAACTTTTCACAGATAAGCAACCGTTCGAGTTGTCACTCTCCTTCCATGTAGTACACACAAATCAAGAGAAGAGAGTAAGGAGAGATTCTAAAGAGAGAGCTAATAAACAGAAGTGTGAGTGAGCGAAAAAGAATAGTAGTAATATGAAAGAACAATATAGTTTTATTGGATGTGACAAATCACAAACAGTGAGTCAATGCGTCTGTGCCAGCCATTGAGATATCGAGGATTTTCAGCCATATCACCACCAGTTGTCCCCAACGTTCATTGGTTCCTAGAATCCAAGGTAATCCAATTAGTCAGGATGTCTACATCTCTCTCTGCATGGCTGGTTGGTTGGGTGACTCAAACTAACTGTTATGGATTTCACTGACTAATGAAATCATGTTTTGGTTTGACCACCACTTACTATTATTATTATTGTTCCCTTGGGTTCCTCGTGGAACATAGGGCTTCAACTGCACGTCTCCACTTGCTTCTGTCTTCTGCTGTACTTCTCACCTGCATCCATGTTAGTCCACACTGATTCAACTTCTCTTCACACGATCTCCTCCATGTCACCCTTGCACCAACGAACCACTCGCCGCTTCCCTTTCGGGTTCCACTCGAGCATTGGCCTGACGCGCGATGTCACCCAGCGGCCTCCTCAGCCAGTGAGTGTCCAATCCATCTCCACTTTCTCCTGCATATTTGTTGAGCGATTGGTTCTTGTTTCGTTTGTCCCCATAGTTTCTTGTTGGTGATTCTTTCCGGCCATCTGATCTTGAGTATAGAACAAAGACAGCTGTTGATTAAGGTCTGGAACAGGGTGTTGGAAATATTCTTTGTGACCTGTCAAGTTTCTGATCTGATCTGTATTGAAGAACTGACTGACTTGCCGTTTGTATTGAAAATCCGAATTTTGTTGTTGATGTTGAGTTGAGTGACGAAGATTTCCAGATTGGTTTCAGGTTGATGAATGTGTTTCTCGCCTTCCCGATTCTCAATTTGACATCCTCGTCCGTTCCATGTGCCTGTTGTTGAGACAATGCTCCCTAGCTAGATAAGTGAATGAAGTAACCTCTTTCAGATCACTCCTGTTGATGGTGATTGTCGGTGGATGTTGCTGCTGGTGTTGTTGTTGGTTTGTTGGTTATTTTCATAACCTCCGTCTTGTCTTTGTTCACGTAGAATCCTGTCTTTGCTGCTTCTTCGACCAGTTTGTTGGTTTTCGCTTGTAAGTCTTCGATTTTTGACCACCACTAAGCGTTTCTTTTGCAACCTGATCCATCCTATGTCAGCGACATTGCCTGTTGCTGACGAAGGAGACGGATGGATAGACAAGCATGTGTAACACATGTCGTAACCATCTAAATCGAAACAGCTGCTTCAAAACCTCATCGATGGGTGTTCTTTTCATACCTAGCAGTCGACTGATGCCTCATTTCAATAGTACTCACCCTATCATACCACCTAACACGGGAGGTTTCTGTTTTTGTAATAATGACGTGAGTGTTTGTGTGTATGTGTGTCATCGGTTCAATGGTAGGAATGCCGAGCAAGCATGGAAGTGGTCCGTCTTTCAGTTGCTGGCCGACCCGGTCCTAAGCCTACCGTTAGCCGGTAGACAGAGGAGTTTGAACCTATGGTTTTCAACCCTACCTCATAAAAATGAAGCACCGCCACAGTTACTGAAACTTCAAAGCTACAACTTGAACGCTTATGTTCCACATGGAACACATATAGGAATGGAGAAAAAAGTAATCAATTTTCATGATTATAATGAAGGTTTTTGTATTTCGCAATGAATGAATGAAAAACAAAACGATATTGTTGTTTTTACTGACGTTTCGCCGCTATTTAATGCTGGTGCTAATAGCTTTATCAAAGTAGTAATATTAAACCGGAATTTACAAAATCCATTCAGCATATATATAATATAACAAAGAGTTAGGGAGTGAAAAAATAGACAAGTTAGGTCAAGTTGAAGGGACATATTGAAAGTCCAAATAGCAATGAAGATAACTAAACCAAATAACAAAGGTAATAATGATAGTACTTCTGTTATGATATCAAAACAAAGTTTACAAACTTGATCATCGTTCGTCTATCTGGGGGCACTTTTCGGTTGTCAAGTTGGTCAATTGGTAAAGATAACGAAATCAAGTGTGGATTGTTGGATTTGATCGGTGTATAAAATTATAAAAGTAGTGTGTGTTTACATAGTGAACTTGCTTATCACATTCGTGTTGATTTTGTCAGTTGATGGGGGAGGGAGGTGTTGTAACCAGGTGAGATTCTGTTTTAGTCCATCATTCCTATTCACACAATTTGGATTCCACTTGATATGAAGTGCTTCTGATATTAGACGTTCTTTGTGATTTCTGAAGTGAATGTGATAAGCAAGTTCACTATGTAAACAAACACACACTACTTTTATAATTTTACACACTGATCAAATCCAATAATCCACACCTGATTTCGATTTTGTTATCTTTACCAATTGACTAACTTGACAACGAAAATGTGCCCCCAGACAGAGGAACGATGATCAAGTTAGTAAACTTTATTTTGATATCATAACAGACGTCCTATTATTATTTCCTTTGTTATTTGGTTTAGTGATCTTCATTGCTATTTTGACTTTCAATATGTCCCTTTAACTTGACCTAACTTGTCTATTTTATCACCCCCTAACTGTTTGTTATATATATGCTGAGATTTTGTAAATTCTGGTTTAATATTACTACTTTGATAAAGCTATTAGAAGCATTAAATAGCGGCGAAACTTCAGTAAAAACAACAATATCGTTTTGTTTCTCATTCATTGGGAAATACAAAAACCTTTATTATAATGAATATCATATACCCAATGCCCAAATTGTTTCAAACGGTTAGAAGTGAACTTGGTTTGCCTATATATAATTTTTATTATTTTTTACCATTTATAATATCGCTTTTCTAATGCTGATGCTGATGATATTATTATGTCATCTGTCGTGTTTATCCCTTATTAATAATTGAATTTTTGTTTTACAATACATGCATCCCGTTCCAGTCCAATCCTGGTATCGGAAAATCGAGTGGATCCGTTCAAAAAATCTCCCAATTAAATTATATTGAACCGTTCAACTTAGATTTACGTACTTCTCAGCCAACTGTTGAACGTGTTAATAGTCCTATAACCACATCCTCACCATCATCATCAGAAACAATAACTACAGTATCGTCAACACCAGCGACAGGAACACCGATGACAACAGGATCGACAACGTCAGTATCTGCAGCTATAAAAACAATACGTTTAATTAAAAAGCCGTCTATAACCTCCACTACGTCTACAGTATTGAGTTCAACCAGTAGCAGCACGAGTTCATCAGCAACAACAAATCCAGTTGAACCTCCTCCGTCTTCTTCTCATCACCATCATCAATCCAGTGTAATAAGTCGTTTACAACATTTAATCAATACCGCATCTAATACACCAAAGTGTCCCCCTCCGCCTCCTACTACTTCTACTACCACCACTATCCTACCTCAGTGTGATTATTCACCACTACCTCATACTACTAACACTTTCAGTAATAGTAGTAGTATAAGTCATACTGCTGCTACTACTACTACTAATGCTAGAGAAGATGATGAACATATTGAATATCGAGAAATTGATCCAATCAGTACAAATGCCTTGGCTATTGTCACAGAACGATTTGGATAGTGTGTCCGGTTGGGCGTTTGTGGTGTATACACTGTATTTATAATAATAATGCATATTGTGTTCGTTTATATAACTGTACCCCTGTTTCCCCTCCTCTTTCTCTCTCTTCTCTTGTCTCTGGTCTTGTCTTTTGTAATAACTCTGGTATTCAGCAAGAAAAAAGGTTGCATAAGTCACGGTGTTATTTTACATTCCTTTGATATAACGATGCCGATGACAAATGCCAAGAACTCATAATATGTACTAGTGATTAGATTGACGATATATGACTATTATTATTATCAGTATTATTATTGATATTATTATTATTTTGTACATCTATTTTATAATTATGAAGAAATAAATGTTGTTTCGAATTTATCATTATTATTATTATTGTATCCTTTAATTCCTAGAGGAACGTAGATAGGGCTTCAGCCGTGCGTCTCCACTACGTTCGGTTCTATGCTAGAGTCTTCACCTGGCTCCAAGTCTGCCCGCACGTTTTCATCTCCTCTTCACATGACCGCCTCCAAGTCACCCTTGCACTGACGACCAGCTCGCCGCTTCCCATTCGATAGGGTTCCACTCGAGCAATGGCTTGTCAAGTGATGTCACTTGATGGTTTGTTTCCTCAGAGTATGGCTAATCCATCTCCATTTCTTCCTGCATATTTGTTTCACAATCGGTTCCTGCTGGGTTGGTTCGCTCCCAGAGATCTCTGTTACTGATCTTTTCTGGCCGGCCATCTGATCTTGAGTATTGAGTGAAGACAACTGTTAATGAACGTCTGTAGTTTGTTTCAGGTGCTCTTCACATTGGAGTTGAAAATCCGGATCTTGTTTTCATTTTCATGCTGATTGGTGTTGACCTCCACACAGACTTGAGAGTAGTGAAAGCTTGTCTTGCTTTTCCGATCCTCACTGCTTTGATATCCTCGTCAGTTCCTTCCGCCTGTAGTTGAAATGATGCTTTCCAGGTCGGTAGGTAAAGGAGGTTGTTTCTTTCAGGTTCCTTCCATTTATGCTGATTGTTGTCTGTTGTTGTTGTTGCTGTTGGTGGTGTTGACCAGGAATCTTCATCACTTCTGTTTTTTCTATGTTCACCTGAAGTCCTATCTTTGATACTTCTTCTGCCAACTTGTTGCTTTTCACTTGTATATCTTCCAGTTTGTAGGAAATCAGACATATATCATCGGCGAAGTCCAGATCCTCCAAGTTTTTTGTGTGAGTCCATTTTATGCCTGTTTCCTCATTATCCGCTACCTGTCTGTCGCATTATCCAATCTACTGCAATCAGGAAAATCATTGGCGATAGTAGTAATGTAACAATCCCCCTTCTCAGGCGTGAGGCTAGCAACCCAACCCTGTAAACAAAGCTGCTACAGAAACTTCAGCTCCTTGTTTCGTATTTAATTCAGTATTTTTATAAAAAAGATGAAATGTACCGAAATGATCATTTTCCGCCATTTCACTCTCCCCCTCTCTGTCTCAACAACAAAAATGTGGGTTTGTATACCATTCAGCCACTGGGACCCGATTCAGTGGCCTGCCAGCCCATGAATTCTAACTTCTACCAATTCATGATCCATTTAGCGTGACTGGCACCAGCTAATGTTATCGGCGGGAAATCCATCCTCACACACTTGACTGGTTGCACTTCACTGATCACGACTTCTAACTAGAACTCCAGCCAGTGACTGACTGTCTGCAGGATGAAGTTCCCTGGAGTTCTAGTGAGAATTCATGATCAGTGAGGTCCATCCAGCCAGGTGTGTGAGGATGGATGTCCCACCGATAACATTGGTTGGTGCCAGTCGCGCTATATGCATCACGAATTGGTAGGAGTTAGATAATTCAGGGGTTGGTCATTGAATCGGATCCCAGTGGTTGAAAAATGAGGATATTTTTATTTGTACGGTTGGCTTTATTTTTGTCTAAAACAAAAAGAGTCGATTTAAGTCATTTTTTTATCTGCATAACTAATAACACTTTAGAAAAAAGGAATTTACCTTGTATTGCAAAACGTTTCAGTGTAGATATTATCATGAATCAAAATAAGCTCAGAAATTAATTAAGATAAACCAAAAAAGTACTGGATAGTTGTTTCGTCGTAGATTGGGAGTCTTCACAAGGCACACCCACAATCCTACTACCAGGGATCTAACCCGGGATCTCCACGTCACGAGACCAAGGTCGTGAATTCCAACTGACCTGTCAATTCATGATATGGAGCTATCGCTAATCAATGGCTTCAGTGAGTTACACCATGGCACCTGGTAGACCTCATTAGCCACTACTTCCCAGTATGATAGTTTTAGGATATGCACCCAATAGTTATCGATAAGCTGGAGATTTATATTCAGACCATTGGTCTCTTGTAAGGATTTGGGTTAATTTCAACATAGATTTCATCACGAATAGTTATCAATTAGTGGTCATTGAAAAACAGCTGTTTCGTCTTAGATTGAGACTCTTCAGCAATACTCACCGCCTCAAGTGGCTGATTGCTCAATGAGCTAGATGTCATAACCGGAAAGTTCTGTGTTCAGTCTTTGGTGGCGTCGTGAATGCGCAGTCCTGAAGAGTCTCAATTTAGGACGAAAAAGTTGTCCAATACCCCTTGGTTTTCAACGATTTCTCTAAATGATATCGGTTTGTAACGAAATCTACCCGATGGATAGCTGCTACCTTGACGTGGTGGTCAGGCTTGCACATCGCGATTACCCAGCAAGCTACACTGGCTGGAACTATTGTTCCTGCAGGTCCTACTATGCCAGGAAGATTGTTAGGATAGCGATTAGACTAAAAGCAGTTACCGGCATTGTGGAAGAATCTTCCTTACACTATGCTGGGGGTCTGTGGGCGAATTCGTACTGATGGGGAACAGGGATGTAACAGACGCAGTAAGGTGTTTCCCTCAGATGACCAGACAGCTATGCTGTCTCTCCACTCCGGAGAGAAGGGATTAGGAAAGTTCGACCCCAAAAATTGTACATACCGACTTACCCTACGGTGTTCCGTAACCGGCGGTAGGTTTACTAATACGGAACCAATCCGAGAAACCAGTTCAGACAGGCCGTGTGTGACCGACCTGAAGCAGTTGTCCCCTGGGCTCTGTGGTCACGCAACACTAATCCTCTTTCTGTTTCAGGTAACCGAAGAATCAATCAACTTCCACGGTGTGAGCAACCAGGAAGTTACAACCTCCCACACACTTCCTAAAGCACATGAAGCATTCCTGTAAGGAAATCTACAATGAAATTAATTTCCATCTTTCCAAAACACTCATAACCTAAAGGTTAGCTTTTGGTCATTATAGTTTAAAGAATCGGTAGTTAATATCTCCAGGAAATTTAAAGCAAACTGTATAAGAGTAGTTGGTAATTTCACTCATCTTTATTCATAAATGTATTAGCAAGCACCTCTGTGCGTTGGCGGCACAGTGGTTAGGACGCTTGCCGACTATACATATGGTCCGGGGTTTGATCCCCGGCTGACGTACACCTGATATCAGTTGGTCAGCCTGCTAAATTTGGGCTATCGATATCACAATGTGAAAATTCCATACTTGTACCAAAATACTGTGTGGAATCAAGCTCTAATAAAATAAATAAATAAATAAATAGAAGTAGCGTAAACAATGAGAATAATAAAGAATTTAAAGGCTTGATAGTACTTCTGTAGAAGTAAGAAACATCAGAGGGTTACAATTAGGATTCTTAATAAAGCTGGAATTAGCTTGGTATTTTAATTAACTAACCAACTCACTCAGGGACTAACTTTGTCAGTTTCTAAACCCGATAAACTTAATTTAGGAAAATAAAATACTAATTATCATATACTGACTATGAGGACGATGTACACAGGTGAAACAAGAAGACTGGAATCAGTTAGATTATCTGAATTGAACTAGAGCTAGGAAAGCTAACCCTACTAAGTTAAATAATCTTCAAAAAACGTTTGGTTAGCGAGTTACATTCACTTACTTGTATTCTTCAAGCATTTGGTTTTAAAGAGATTTTTCTTTGATTGGTTGGAGGATTTCATCATGTGCTGACATCGGTTACAGAACCATTGGAAAACCTGAGAGTACTGCCAGACAGCTGTTTCGTCAGCCTAGTTTCGGACTCCACAACAGTAGGCAACTACCCTACTGGGGTTCAAACACAGGACCTTCTGGTTACAAGGCTAGCGAGCTCGTAGACCATTGAGCCACTAGAACCCGCTCTATCCAATGGCCAGTCCATGAATTCTAACGTCTGCTAATTCATGACATAGCGCGACCACTTCACAATGTCTTTTTCGATAAGTAACTGTCTCACCTTCAACCTGCTGTACCCTACTGGTCACGATTTCCCACTAGAACCCCAAGTTAATTGCCTGAATAGGGTTAGTGGTCGCTCTATATCATGAATTGGCAGAAGTTAGAATTCATGGGCTGGGGTTACTGGACAGCTGTTTCGCCCTAGTTTGGGGCTTTTCAGCAGTACGCGCCCACTGGATTTCGACATCACAAAATATGGAATGGAACAGGGTAAAAGTACTAAAACGTAATATATTTCGGTAGAGTAAGAAAGAGAGGTCAATCACTGAATGTCTATACATCAAATCAAGAGCAGATGGATAATTTGAGTACAAGTGGGAATGAAGAAATATGTGGTCTGTGAGTTCATTGTTAAAAACAATAGGGTGGAACAGATCTATAGCTCTAAAACGTAGTGTAAATGTGGGTGGAGGGAGAGATTGATTTTACTCAATCTTTGTTCATCGAATCCTCTCCTTACACTCGCAACAGAAATGACATAACACAGATCCCAGAAATATGGAAAATAATTTATTTTATTCCTTTACGTTCCAAATGGAACATGGGGCAGAATTTTGAAGTTTTGGTAGCAGTGGTATTCACTTTTAAGGGATGGGGTTACTAGCCTCATGTCCAAACTTCTCTATTTACCAGTCTTATCACCGGCCTAACGAGTTGAAGGAGTGTGTCCGCCGGGGATCGAACCCCGGATCACATGCATGGAAAATATTGCTCTCACTAAAGTTAAGTGATAAGAAATCATGGAGTTATACAGATGAAGTTTGAATGATACATGAATGTCCTGATATGATTATGAATAGCAATAAATTGTTCTTGAAACGTCATCAGTAAAAGTTACTGTATCACTGTATGGTTATATGAAATGAATTTGTGCTATGAAAGTCATATAAAAAGTGAAGAATTCAATCGTTAGCAACCATTTGAATAGATTGGTAATATGTAACGAAATGTTCGAAGAACGTTGTTCAATAGAGAATTCCTTTATCTCCGAACTTTTAGTGTCACTTGAAAAACTACTATCGATACAAGCCTGACTACTCAATTGTTAATCAGTA